ATCAAACTGTCATTCTATACACTATATGAGCCACTGAAACTCATTCAAACTAATGAACTCATCTATCTATGACACTTATCTATCTAATCTTAAACTCTTAAACTCACAATAAATTAATAAACTCTAAACTTAAACTCTCTTAGACTCATTTAAACTTATAAACTCTAAACTCATAAACTCTAAATTCATAAAACTCATACTCTTATAAACTCTCATAAAACTATTAAACTCATAAATGAATAAACTCTGGACACTTACTCATTAAACTTATAAACTCTAAACTCATAAACTCTAAATTCACACCATAGCAACCAGTTACAGCACCCTAGCAACCGTAGGCCATAGGCACGAGGCCGCAGGCCTCGTGCAATACTAAATATTGCTGATTTCTCAGAAACTTGTAATGTACCACATTTGAAGAGGCTGACAGGCTCTGTAAGAAAATACCTCACAGTGGGGGAATAGTTGCACCCTGGGGGCAGGAGCTGCCCAAAATTGCCCCATTGACTTACATGAAATGGGCCGTCCTACACATTGCATTAGGGTTTTATATTGAACATAGCTCTGGATCACAGTGTCATAGAGACAAGGGGGCGGCTCATTTTACTCAGACGACCAATCAGTCTCTCAGGATCATTGTGAAGCTATCAAGCCACGCCCTAGCAACCATTTAGAGCACCTTAGCAACAAGTCCCATAGACTTCCATTGAAAGAGATTGAAGGGATATCTCCGGATAGAAGTGTCATAGAAATATGTGGGTGGTCTCGTTTGACTCCGGGTAGCAAAGTGCCAACCATGAATCACCTCAACAATTTCTGGCCACGCCCTAGCAACAATTAACGAGCACCTTAGCAACCAAATTTTAAAGAGGGATATCTTCCATTCTGAATGTCACAGAGTCATGAGAGTTGATTTATAGTGACAAGCAGCCTTTGGAGATTCATCGCTGGCAGCTGCCAAGCCACTCCCTAGCAACTAAACAGAGTACCCTAGCAACCATTAAGCAAGATTTATATCTCTGCATCAGAACAATGTATAGAGATGGGGGTTGGTTTAAATCATTCATACTGACAAGCAGCCTTTGGAGTTTCATGATTGGCAGCTGTCAAGCCAATCCCTAGCAACCAAAGAGAGGACCCTAGCAACCATTTTTTAACAGCTATATCTCAGCATCAGAACATTGTATCGCGATGGGGTTGGGTCTTTTGACTCATGCTAGCACACAGGACTTTCAATATGCTAAACATGCTAGCTGTGAATAGCTAAATGCTAATATGGATACTTTATAGTAACCATATGTGAACACTACCAACCAAGTAGCAATACCATAGCAACCACCCAGGACACCCTAGCAACCACCTAGCAACACCATAGCAACCACCCAGAATACCCTAGCAACCGCCTAGCAACACCATAGCAACCACCCAGAACACCCTAGCAACTACCTAGCAACACCCTAGCAACCACCAAGAACACCTTAGCAACTGCCTAGCAACACCTAGCAACCACCAAGAACACCCTAGCAACTGCCTAGCAACACCCTAGCAACCACCCAGAACACCCTAGCAACGCCTAGCAACACCATAGCAACCACCCAGAACACCCTAGCAACCGCCTAGCAACACCATAGCAACCACCCAGAAACACCTAGCAACCACCTAGCAACACATAGCAACCACCAGAACACCTTAGCAACTGCCTAGCAACACCCTAGCAACCACCAAGAACACCCTAGCAACTGCCTAGCAACACCATAGCAACCACCCAGAACACCCTAGCAACCGCCTAGCAACACCATAGCAACCACCCAGAACACCCTAGCAACCGCCTAGCAACACCATAGCAACCACCCAGAACACCTAAACACCCTAGCAACCGCCAAGAACACCTAACAACCACCTAGCAACACCATAGCAAC